TACGAGCGGTGTGGGCGTGCGTTGGCCACGGGCCGCACACAGGTGGGTAAGTTGACAGGGGGCGGCCCTTTGTTTGAAAAAAACAATACCAACCAGAAGAAATCCTTGGCACCCACACAAAAAAAACATGCTGAGACCCATCCAACGAAAGAAGCCCCTTTGCGGGAGAAAATATTTTCCGTGCGTGTGTGTGGAGCGTTGTGCGCAAAAGACCATGAAGGGTACGCGGGAGAGGGAAGGGTGCAACTGCCCTTGGTGTGAGTTTCGCTACGACTGCTTGCCTAGAGCGAGGAAATTCGTGCGCGCTGGCGCGCGGTCCCTGCTCTGTTTTTGTTTTTGGTGTTGAAGCGCATTTCCCGCCGTGGCCGGACGCCACAACCAAAACACCCACAAAAAAAAGCGCGTTTCGACAAAAATTTTGTGCCGTGATTGTTTTTCCGGCTCCCTCTTGCCCTCTCCAAAGGGGTTTGTCCCAGGTCAAGCGTTGAACGCCAAACGCCGAGCACACGACCGCCACAGGGGTTGAGCAACGCCATGGATAAAAGGCAGTGCAACGCTTTCGTGTGACCTCCACTCAAGCGACATTCTTTTCTGCGCGACTGACATCCGCTGACATTTTCGGGCTTTGTTGCAAGCCAAGGGCGCAAGCAAAGGAGGAAATTGAAAGTGTTGGAAAGACAAGGTCGAACGAGCGCCATCACGGAACACACACACTAAAATACATACGTTTGGGCCCAGCAGCCAAAAAAATCAACCGCGCGGATGTAGCCCCTCTTCCATGTGTCACACAGCAGTCACACACACACACACACACACCTCTTTCAGCGTGGCATCGCCGCCACCCTCCTCGCTTGTCTTGGCGCCACCCGCTACCTCGCCGGCACCATCCGCAGCGGCGTCGGTGCTGGGCTTCACGACTTCCTTTGACTTTGCCGGCTCTGAGGCAGGCGCTGCTTGGGACTCAGCACCGCTGACCGCGTGCTGCTTTGTGGTTTGTTGACTCGAGGAAGCGCTGTCCGAGCCTTGGTATCCTGGCGATGTGGCTGCGGCATCCGGAGATCTCTTCGCGGCGACGTTAGCAGAAGACATGGCGACAGTCCGCCTCGCTTTGCTCAGTGAAGGTTCACCTTGGGATGTCACTGCGGGGGCACAGTGCGCAGGTGTGTGCTCCCCTGACCGAGGTGTGCTCGTGGGTGCTGTAGGCCGAAGAGACCAAAAACGGAGATATTTTTTTCTTACAAAACACAACAAAGTTGCACACAGCCTCTCCCTCTCCTCTCTCGTCCGAACTCGTACGATGCGCAAGGATACACCTCGCGAGGAGTGGGCAGTCGACAGGTGTCGGCCGAAGTATTCGGTTTGTGCAGCCGCGAGGAGACGCTAAGACGCAATGTGCGGCAGGAACTCTCTCTGTGCTCTGTTGGATCGTGTGTGACTTTTGTTTCACCCCCCCCACCCCCTCTAATTCCGTGTTTTGTCACTGTTATCATTCCCCCCCCCCCCCCCCCC